TGATTTCTCCTATTATGGCTGTTAGCATTTCCCTTATGTATTGAGGTGGTCCTATTTTGGGTGCATAAATATTTACAATTGTTATGTTTTCTTCTTGGATTGATCCCTTGATCATTATGTAATGTCCTTCCTTATCTCTTGTAACATTCTGTATTTTAAAGTCTATTTTATCTGAAACGAGTATTGCTACTCCAGCTTTCTTGTGATTTCCATTTGCATGGAATATCTTTTTCCATCTCCTCACTTTCAGTCTGTATGTGTCCCTAGGTCTGAAGCCGGTTTCTTGTAGACAGCATATATAACGGTCTCATTTTTGTTTCCATTCAACCAGTCTTTGTCTTTTGGCTGGAGCATTTAATCCGTTTTACATTCAAGGTGGTTATTGATATGTATGTTTCTATTACCATTTTCTTAATTGACTTAGGTTTGTTTTTGTCTGTCTTTTCTTTTGTGTTTCCCACTTAGAGAAGTTCCTTTAGCATTTGTTGTAAAGCTGGTTTTGTGGTGCTGAATTCTTGTAGGTTTTGCTTGTCTGTAAAGCTTTAGATTTCTCCATCGAATCTGAACGAGATCCTTGTTGAGTAGAGTAATCTTGGTGGTGGGTTTTTCCCTTTCATCACTTTAAATATGTCCTGCCACTCCCTTCTGGCTTGCAGAGTTTCTGCTAAAAGATCAGCTGTTAACCTTACGGGGATTCCTTTGTATGTTATGTTTTGTTTTTCCCTTGCTGCTTTTAATATGTTTTCTTTGAATTTAATTTTTGTTAGTTTGATTAATATGTGTCTTGGTGTGTTTTTCCTAGGGTTTATCCTGTATGGAACTCTCTGTGCTTCCTGGACTTGTGTGACTATTTCCTTTCCCATGTTAAGGACGTTTTCAACTGTAATCTCTTCAAATATTTTCTCAGACACTTTCTTTTTCTCTTCTTCTTCTGGGACCCCTATAATTCAAATGTTGGTGCGTTTACTATTGTCCCAGAGGTCTCTGAGACTGTCTTCAATTCTTTTCATTCTTTTTTCTTTACTCTGCTCCTTGGCAGTTATTTCCACCTTTTTATCTTCCAGCTCACTTATCCGTTCTTCTGCCTCATTTATCCTGTTATTGATTCCTCTAGAGTGTTTTTAATTTCAGTTATTGTGTTGTTCATCACTGTTTGTTTGCTCTTTAGTTCTTCTAGATCCTTGTGAAATGTTTCTTGTATTCTCCATTCTGTTTCTGAGATTTTGGATCATCTTTACTATCATTACTCTGATTTCTTTTTCAGGTAGGTGGCCTATTTCGTCTTCATTTATTTGGTCTTTTAGGTTTTTACCTTGCTTCCTCATCTGTAACTTATTTTTTTGTTGTATATATATATATTTTTTTTTCTATGGGTGGGGCTGTATTCCTGTCTTGCTGGTTGTTTGGCCTGAGACGTCCAGCACTGGAGTTTGCAGGCAGTTGGATAGAGCCAGGTCTTGGTGCTGATATGAGCACCTCTGGGAGGCCTCACTCTGATTAATATTCCCTGGGGTCTGAGGTTCTCTGTTAGTCCAGTGGTTTGGACTCAGAGCTCCTACCACAGGAGCTCGGGCCCGACCTCCAGCATGGGAACCAAGATCTTGCAAGCTGCATGGCACAGTCAAAAGCAGTATAATTTACAAAGAATAAAAAACAAAATAAAATTTAAAAGATAAAAAATATATTAGGAATAATAAGAATATAATTTAAACAACTGCAACAAGGTAAAACAAAACCACAACAGAAAAAAGAAAAAAAAAGGGGGGGGGAAACAAGCCAAAAGGAGCAGAACAATAACAAAGTATAAAGAATAGAATAAAATTAGAAAAATAAAAGATTTATTAGAAAACATAAAAATATAAATGAATCAACAGCAAGGTAAAACAGAACCCTAATCTAAAAGAGGAAAAAAGAAAAAAAAAGCCTTGGCTATGGGGGGTGGAGTTTAGGCAGGGGTGGAAGTTAGGTAGGGGCGGGACCTAGTCTGGGGTGGTGACATTTGAGCCTGGGCGTGGCAACATTCAAGCATAGGGTGGGGCCCCTGCCTAGGACCTGTGCAGAAGGGGAGACGCAGCAGATCCAAAGCGGGACCTCGGAAGTGTGGAGTTCCGGAGTTTGGAGTTAAGGCCCTGGGTGGGGGGGTAGTGGTGGGGCTTGGGCTCTGCAGGCAGCAGGAAGGCTCTGCGGGCAGAGGATTAGGCCCGGTAGCCCAAGAGGCTCCCCGGTGCCTACGTGGACAGGGAAAGCGCTAGCCACGTTTCCTTCTGTTCCTCCACGCCACACCTCAGGGGTCTCCGCCAGCGTCTCCCCTGTCCCCACTGGACCCCTAACTGTGGGTGGATCCCGCTGGGTGTAGGAACTCCTCCCCTCCCCCAGCCGCCCCCAGGGGTGCCAGGTCCCTGAGGTCTGGCCTTTACTTTTGCTCCCCCTTCCCTCCCTCCCACTCCCTCAGGACCCATGCGGCTGGAGGAGGCCTCAGTGGGCAGAAGATCAGGCCCAGGATCTCAGCAGGCTCCCGGGGGCCCAAGTGGGCGGGGGAGACCTGTCCATGCTCCCTTCTGATCCTCTGCCCTCCCAATGGTCCCCCAATTTACCCCTTCAGTGTCGGATCCCTTCCCCTCCCCCAGCCACCCCTCAGGGGCTCCAGTCCCGTCCCGCCTCCACTTCTCCTCCCCCCTCATTCCCCCCAACATTCCACGTACTACCCGGTCACTGGGGGTTCCTCCCGTCCCCTTAGGTGTCCGTGGTCGCCCACTGGTGCCTGGTAGGTGCCCTGGTTGTGCGAGGATGTGAATTCCGTATCCTCCTAGTCCGCAATCTTGACTCCACCCCCGAAACCCTACTATCTTCACATTAGAAAAAAAATTTTTTTTGAAAAAGATGTACATGTGCATAGGTTAAAGTATCAAATAGTTCTGCAAAGTTAGTTTTTAAAAAAAGTCTTCTATTTCTTTTCCCTTTTCTCCTTCCCTAGAAGCAGCCACTAATCACCATAGTTAGCTAATTATTTTGGTTATTACTCAATGTTTCTAAATAACATGCTTTATACACTAATTTTTTATTCAGTGTTTCTCTGATTATAGATACGAGCAATGTAGTATATTATGATTTGTTTCCCTTTGTACAGCTTTTGGTTTCCTTCTAGTTAATACTTGTCTTATTTCTTACTTGTTTATTTTAAAATTTTAATCACTAATTCAATCCTTGTTGATTGTTTAAATCTCCTTTGAAGACATTCAGCTATACCAGGCATCCAGTTCATTTCATCTTGCTGAGTAAATCTCTCCCGGAGCCTTCTGACGTACATCAATACGTCTGGCTGCCCTCTACACTGTGTAGAACATCAGCCTGAGATCTCCCTTCCCCAGCATTTTGGGAATCTCCTTGTCTTTTTCTGTTGTGTTGACACTTCTGTTTCCTGTATGCTTTCTTCCTTTTTTCTTAGCTTTCCCTCTTTTGTGGGTTGATTGTATCCTCATATAGCTTCCTGGTGTATGGGGGTTGCCTGAAATGTCTTCATTTTATTTTAATATTTAAGCTATAGTTTAGCTGAATGTAAACTATTACAGTGGTCATCAGTTTTTCTCAGAATTTTGAAGGCATTTTGTTATTGGCTTAAAAAAAAACTTTAAATTTTGAAATGATTTTAGATTGACAGAAGAGTTACAAAGATAGTACAAAGTTCCTGAATTCTCTTCACCTGGCTTCCTCTAATGTTAACATTTTACATAACCATGGCACATTTGTCAACACTGAGAAACTAATATTGACTGTTAATACTACTAGGAACTGAACTACAGACTTCAGTCCTATTTCACCAGCTTCTCCACTCATATCCTTGGTCTATTCCAGGATCAGATCCAGGATACCAGACTGTAATCACTCCTCATGTCGCCTTAGACTCTTCAAGTCTGTGACAGTTGTGCAGTCTTTCCTTATTTTTAATAACTTTGACATTTTTGAAGAGGACTGGTCAATACTTTGTAGAATGTCCCTCCGTAGGGTTTCTCTGATGTTTTCTCATGTTAAGACTTGGGTTTTGGATTTGGGAGAATAATACCACAGAGGTGAAAAAGGTCTTCTCATCGTATCATTTCAGAGGATAAATGATATAAACATGACATGTTACTGGTGATGCTAACTTTGATCACTTGGTTAAGGTGGTGTCTGCTAGATTTTTCCTCTGTGAAGTTGCTAATTTTCTCTTTCCACTAAGCGAGTCATTAAGTCCAGCCCACCCTCAAAGGGAGGAGAATTAAGCTTCACCTCCTTGAGGGAGGAATATAAAATAATTTGTGGACATATGTTAAAACCACCACAATAATTAATAAATATCTGGGGGGGAGGTATTTTGAGGCTATGCAAATACCCTTCTTCTCCTTAAAGTTGTACTAACTAATGTTAATATTCATCAATGAATTTCACCACTGCTTTTTAACTTCCAGTGTTCCTGTCCAGAAATCCACAACCATCCTAACTTCTGGCCCTCAGAATTGATCTTTTCCTCTTAGGAATGTTGTAGAATCTCTTCCTTTTTCCCTGTGTTCTAAAATTCCATAAATGGGACTTCCCTGGTGGCCCAGCGGCCAAGACTCCTCGTTCTCAATGCAGGGGGCCTGGGTTTGATCCCTAGTCAGGGAACTAGATCCCACATGCCGCAACTAAGAGCCCGTATGCTGCAACTAAGAACCGGCGTAGCCAAATAAATAAATAAATATTAAAAATAAATAAATAAAATTCCATAAGAATGTACTTTGGCACGAGACTGTTTATGTTGAATGGATTGAAGGACTGAATGAGACAAGCTATGTAACACGCCTAGCAAAGTATCTAGTGCACAGAATACTCTCAATGTTAGATTCTTTCTCCTTCAACTGTTCAGCGTGTAACTTTGTGGACTCTATGGAGTGAAGGTACTTGCTTCAGGGAACATGAGACTTGTGTTAACTTATCTTATGTTTTTAATTCTCCCCCCCGCCCCGCCCCTTCTCTCAATGCAGGGCTTACCACTCAAACGATGGAAGGCAGACATTACCCACCTGAGCTGTCCAGAGCCTACAGCGTTTGCTTTCTCACCCCTCGCCCCACGTCGGAGCTCTTTGCGAGAGATGTGGATACCAAGCTTCCAACAATCCAAGAAAGAAGCCCAAGCACTAAGGTGGCTGGTTGATAGGAATCAAAACTTTTCAACTCAAGAGTTTTGGGCCCTAGTATTCAAGGACTAATATCAAAAAGTGTCAGAGTTCTATTTTCTAGGTTGCCTTGATATCTGAATATAATAGCTGCTCTGTGGACAACCCACTAGGATGAGAATTAATGGGTGCAGTACTCATAGTGAGCTCTATTGAATAATAGATATGAGTTACCCCTAGGGGTCACTTCTCTGTTTTTCATAGTAAAAAAGAAATATTTCTTAAGAACACTGGTCACCTTCAGTGTACATGTCTGGACCTGCATCCCTGCCGCCTTGTGTGGAAATTCACCTACTGTAGAATGAGTGTTTTCCTTGCTGCAAGGAAAGAGTCCTTGCAAGGAAGGCAGAGGGTGTAGCTGTGGATTCTTACACTCACCTCACTGGCTGTATTTATTGGCATTTGGCAAGCCCAGTGTCCCGACGCTGAGCAGGAACGTGAAGTGCGTTAGAACTTGCCAATGAGGGATGCCATCTGTTGGTTTCCAGGGATGTGAGTGAGTAGTGAAGGCTGTGTGGGGTTGATCCGCTGTGTCCCCAAATCTAAAGAACATGGCACGTCTCTGCCTCTTCAGCTGCCTCTTTCAGCCACCTCTCCCGCCTTTCTTATTACCACCTTGCCCTGCGTCCTCCCCCGTTCCTCCCTGGAGCGAACGTCTTGGGAAGACGTGCCTCTTCCTTGTGTGTTTTGAGTGGTGAGTAGTTCCCTATGTTCCCTTATTCCACTGAGCAGAATAGTACAGAGTCCTGTGGTTCAGGCTGGACAGCCTGTGCGTTTTGATCGCTGTGAGCATGAAGGTGAGTGCCCTGGGGAACTCCAGTGGTGTGGAAGCGGATTTGTCTTGTCTTAGGGTGACGTGCAGCCTGCAGTGGTGGGCAGCCCTGCCAGTTTGGGAGCATTCCCTGTCATTTCTGATCCCGTCACAGAGCAGTTTCAGCTGTCTTACCTGGAGCTTCTACTGGAGCTTCTCGGAAGACAAGGAGAAAACACTGTCTCTCGTTCTCTTTCCTTGTGAGCGTGGGGTGGCTTCTAGATCACACTAAAGCCTGCTGCCACCCAATGTGTGACGGCTTTGATATTCTTTATTGTGGAAAGACGTAAGCTCCAGGGGACAGGATGAGTCCTGGGTGCTCATGTCCCTGATGTGGCATCAGGGGAAAACTGAGGAAAGCACCCTCTCGGCACCAGCTGCCTTTGTAATCGCAGGCCAGTGCCTTTCTGTTCCTGCCAAGGGTGATCTCTTCCTTACGTAGCTGTCTTTCTGGCTGTGCCAGAGAAATAAGGACTGAGACCAGTACATTCTTTTAGCAGCAAGAGGGGTCACATTGTTTCTCCCCTCTGACTGGGTTCTTCTCCATCCCAGCTCTGCCATTAACTAACTATGATTTTGAACAAATCTCTTAACCTTCCTGGGCCTTAGTTTTTGTACCTAAAAAGAAGTGATTGGGCTGGTCTTGGAAGTTCTTTTCTGGGTAACATTCTTTATTTATCAAAATTTAAGAAGCTTCATTTTGTATGTGTTTTTACTAGGACAGTAACAAACTAGGTTAGAGCCACTGTGTTTTTCAAGGGAAGCACACTCTTCTTTAAAGGAGGAAGCATACTTATTGGGTAGTGTTGGGGATGGAAAGGAATTTATTTATCTCTCTGCTCTTTTATCTGATAGTATCAAAACGGAAAGGATTGGAAAGGCCAGATTTTAAGTTGTATTTTAAATGGGTTTATTTGTTTGTTTCTTTTTGTTTTGCGATATGCGGGCCTCTCACTGTTGTGGCCTCTCCCGTTGCGGAGCACAGGCTCTGGACGTGCAGGCTCAGTGGCCATGGCTTACAGGCCTAGCCGCTCTGCGGCATGTGGGATCTTCCCGGACCGGGACACGAACCCGCGTCCCCTGCATCGGCAGGCGGACTCTCAACCACTGCGCCACCAGGGAAACCCATTTGTTTGTTTCTTTTCTTCTCTTTCTTTTTTCCCCCACTCTTAAAAAAAGCCCAGGATATGATTTGTGCCTCTGATGAGACATTATCGAGTAGACTCAGTTCTCCTTCACAAATGCCTTAAGCAGATACCCCCCAGTTCTTATGTGCTACATGTAGGTCTTTTTTTTTTTAAAACTTATTTAATTAATTTATTTATTTTTGGCTGCGTTGGGTCTTCATTGCTGCGTGTGAGCTTTCTCTCGTTGTGGCGAGCAGGGGCTACTCTTCATTGTGGTGTGTGGGCTTCTCATTGCGGTGGCTTCCCTTGTTGTGGAGCACGGGCTTCAGTAGTTGTGGCATGAAGGCTCAGTAGTTGTGGCGCATGGGCTCAGTTGCTCTGCAGCATGTGGGATCTTCCTGGACCAGGGCTCGAACCCATGTCCCCTGCATTGGAAGGCGGATTCTTAACCACTGCGCCACCAGGGAATTCCCTGCATGTAGGTCTTAAACCCCAACATTTCATGTGTTTTTTTGGTTCTGCTTGGTTCTTCTTCACGAGTCCGTCGATCAAATTCACCCTAAACCTGTATGCAGTATGTAGCCCTGAGCAAATTTAGTGAAATAAAATCATTGCTCATTTAATGTGGTATAAAAATTTTGTGGAGGAAGAGGATAAAGGAGAGGGAATTTCATGGGATTAAAAATGAGGTATAAGGCCTTCCCTGGTGGCACAGTGATTAAGAATCCGCTTGCCAATGCAGGGGACACGGGTTCGAGCCCTGGTCCGGGAAGGTCCCACATGCTGCGGAGCAACTAAGCCCTTGGGCCACAACTACTGAGCCTGTGCTCTAGAGCCCACGAACCACAACTACTGTGCCTGCATGCCACAACTACTGAAGCCCATGTGCCTAGAGCCCGTGCTCTGCAACAAGAGAAGCCACCGCAATGAGAAGCCCGCTCACTGCAATGAAGAGTAGCCCCTGCTCGCCGCAACTAGAGGAAGCCCGTGCACAGCAACAAAGACCCAAGGCAGCCAAAAATAAATAAAATAAAATAAAGAAATTGTAAAAAATTTAAAAATAAAAATGAGGTGTATTTCAAGAAAATAAACCAAGGATTCTTTGGAACTCTTTGAGTATCCATAAATTTGAGACTTTATTATTATTTTTTGCTTAACATATGTGTCTTTTGCAGTAGGGTTTTCATTAATAAGATAATGCCCTCTCGTCTGTGATAATTGCTGTCATGGAGTGATTCTTATCTGCAAAACGGGAGCTCTGCTTTTGGAGTTCCATGGAAGGCCCTCCGTGTATTTTAGCTGTGTTGACCCCATCATAAGACACCTTTCTCTTTACCTCAATGACTCCATTTTTGAAATATGACTCAGCAAGTGTCCTACCTCACAGGCTGTTGTGTGGAACGGCTCATGGCTGTGAAGGACTTCCTGCAGTGCAGCTTTCTGTTTAGTGCTTCAGTACGCTTTACTTGGATTTTCTCAAAGACTGATTTTCAAAGCAGTATGACGAGGTGGGCAGAAACCTTTTCAGAATACTGAAGAAAATGATTACTAATGTTAGTTAATAGTCTTTACTTCTTCACCTGAAAATGGAGGCAACTTTGACCTTTGGTCACATAGCAAATATAATGTTTCAGAATCTGAATGCTGACTGGCTTCTTTGTTGCTCTTAAGGACTGGATTCTAGCAACTAAAATATCAGTTGAGGTCATTATCATTATTAGTAACAGACTGAATGCATACAGTGTTCTATGCACTTCTCAGAAATAAAGACAAAGGCAAAAATGAGCATGGTTCTTTCAGGGTCAAACATTGTGTATTACACATAGGAGAATGGCTCAGTATCAGTAGAACACCTCAAGGATCTAAGCACAGTCCAGACCTGAACTTGAAATTTGAAATACCCATTGTAATATTGTGCGTTAAGAATTATTAGTAGCACGTAATTCCTGCTAAAGACAACAGTTCCTTAGGGGAATCCAGTGTAAAGTTAATTTTCAATGAATAGTGTTGATTATCTAAAGTCAGGAGGGTATAACTCTGCATAAATGACATATGTCTTTCTTAGAATCTTCAAAGTAAACAGTATAGAAGCCCACAGGCCACAAATAAAGGCAGTCAGTTTATGTTTCAAGTACCTTTGCAATCTTCAATATTTTACAAAGAATTTTTTCGCCCTTCTTTCAGAAATTTCTTTCCTTTGTTTCCATTTTTGTTGTTGTTGTTGTTAGGTAATATCTTAGATAATAATATCTTTACCGCATAATTCTAATGTCAACATATATCTTTATTTCCTTCTGATTACAGGAATGAAAATGCTTTAGGAACTCAGAGGGAATATAGAATTATGAGCTGTGACTGGAATGAGAAAGACCTGATTTTAGTCCCTACTCTTTGATGTACCATCTTTATTACGTTGGTCAAGTTATTCGACCTTTTAAAGCTGTATCTTGTTCATGTGTCATGTTTGCTCCCTGTGAGGTTGTTGTGATGATTAAGTAAGCTTGTGTTCATACTTCTCTCAGTAAATGCGAGCTGTAGTTGTTCCAGCTATCTGTGGCCATCACCCTTCTGTTTGTGAAGACCCGGGTTGAGATTGGTTCAGGAAAAGGGAATGACTAATGATTGGACCAGGGATGTTACCCTTTTGTTCTTTGTTTAGTTGTTTCAAACATATTTATTGTTATGAGATGGGCATTGTGGTAGGCACTGTAGCAGATACAAGCAGGACAATGGAGAAAGGTGTGAGGGGCATTGTGATACGCGGATGGTATTAAAACCAGGGACAGAGGAAGGCTTGAATTGTGCTATAACTGTCTCTCCCTTCCATGGGATTTCTGATGGAGTTTTACACAAAGTTCCCAAGAGCATAATGAAACTCAGCAACCTCTTTATAGTAGCTGTGCAAACCCAAATAAACCCAGTGCAATGAACTCTGGTAAAAGCTGGATTTGAACATATAATTTAGATTTGAAGCCTAAGGAGCATCTTTTATGGCCTTTCTGTTTCTCAATTCTCAGTCTTAGGACCAGCCTGTTCAATGTGCCAAGAGAAAGGAGAGAAAGTCTGTAGGTCCTCACCCTGCTTCCTCATTAACCAAGGATCAAAACAGGAATAAAAGAGGGCTTAGGTGACAAGCCCTCTTTGCTCTCCACTTGCTATGGATGCAAGAATATGGGGTGCGTTGCATGAGAGCTCCCTTTTAAGTCATAGTAACCTCTCTGACTAGTAAATGTGACCTCATTAATATCCTGGGCCCAACCCATTAAATTAGTGACCCCGTTGGTGCTGGTGGAAGGGGGATTATTAAGGACTTGGGCAGGATGCAAGGTGTGAGAAGGAGCAGGAGTGACCCTCCATGATTTTTGTCCTCTCAACTCATTGGGCTTAACAGCCAAGCCTGGGGTCAGTCAGAGGTGGACTGTGTCCCCAGGAGGGTATGACGTATCATGATCAACAGAGACCTCCTTTTACCTTTCTGGGCTTCTTCCCTGGTAACAACCCTTGCTCTGTGGTATCCCCCTGGAGCCAGTGACATGCGCCGTTCAGCTCTTTGTCTCTTGAAGCTTCTGAAATGAATCAGGACTGAACGTTGATCAATGTCTCCAGGAGAATTGTGGACATTAAGTCAAAAATTTGTTCCCTATTTTATTTCCCATTGCAAACCATGACTTACTTCATCATCCAGCTTTGCTCACCGGAGGAGGTTATACAACCAGCCCCAGTAGGCCATTAGGAATACTTGGAATTTTACTATCACAAACTCCTTAATTAAAAAAAACACTGATTGAGTAGGTAATTAAAGATTTTAGAGACTACCAGTGTAGGTAGCTGGTGCCGTTAATGGTTTTAAGGCAAGGGCAGTATCCCAGGAGCCTTTGGAATGAGCCTCACATAGATCGCTTCGTATGTATACAGAGTAAACGTGACTGCAGACTCATCTGGTGAGTCACACTCACAGAAAAATAAAGTCAGTTTACTTAATGATGTCCTTGATGAAGTAATAAAAATGACTAACTTTATAAAACCTTGACCTTTGAGTACATGTCTTTTTAATATTCTATGTGATAAAATGGGGCGTGTATATAAAGCATGTCTGCTGCACACCAAAGCACAATGGGAATCTCAAAGAAAAGCACTGTGTGATTGTTTGAGTTGTGAGCTAAACTTTTCCCTGGAAAACCATTTTTGCTCAAAAGAGTGTCTGGCAAACTGTGGGTTGTTCAGTGATGGGTTTTTGTCAGTCATCTTCATGGAAATGTAGTGAGCCTGTCACTTTAAGAGAACCAATAGACTTTGTTGCCAATGATAAAATTTCAGCTTTCAAATGAAAATTAAAATTTTGGAAAACTAATTTCCACCACTTCGAACTTGACAACCTCCTGATTCTTGAGACTTTCCTGATGAGACTAACAAATGTTACTTTTGACATTGAATGGAAACAGAGGTGATGACGTGTAAAGGAATTTTTATTTTTATTTTTTTTAGGTAAGAAGTGGATTTATTTAGAGAGAAACACACTCCACAGATAGAGTGTGGGCCATCTCAGAAGGTGAGAAAGGCCAGGAGTTTTTAGTTTATTAGTTTGTTTTTATAATTTGAAGGAAGGAAGAAATAGTGTTGTATACTAGAGAGAGAGAGCATTTGTTTTAAATTAGTTTTTTTGGTTGAAGTGTTCCATAAGGGAAAATGGAGTTTCTAGTGGATATTTTTTAAATTATTGATCACTTGAAAATTGGGGTAAGGTAAAAGGTAATCAGAACTTTCCATGAAGGAAAAGAAGCCTTTGGTTTTTTTCACTAGGGAAACAAGGAAAAAATGTATTCAAGAACAAGAGAATTATTTTTAAAATATTTTCAAGGAAATTATCATTATTTGGGTCACTCAGAATGTCAGGCTGCCTGGAATCTATTAATTTACTCAATAATTTTTTATTGAGCACTTAATATGTGCCAGGAATTATTCTGGGCCAAGAGGCTATAGTAGTGAGTGAAACTGACAAAACCCCTGCCACCATAGAGCTTCTGTGTTAATTCTGGTAGGGGAATGAATATGGAAACGCCTTAGCAAAATACAAACCACTTCCAGGAAGGTTTTGTTTCTTTATTCTGTAAGAGCCCCTTGAGATGGAATTTACTTCCTGAATTTCTCCTACTCTATTTGAAGCATGAGATATGATATAAGTGGATTATATTGATAGAGTGTATTAAATGTGCTATATTGACAAGATGGTTAAAAGTACTGAAAGTTCAGATTCAGAGTGAGTTGGCAAGTCTGAAAGCAAATCCTTTCTCTGTTCTTTTCATTTTTTACTCTATTGTTTTATTCCTGTTCCCCAGAAGAGGAGACATTTCTCCTGTCAATGTCATGTGATTTCCGGCAAGAATAAGAACTGACTTGGGAATGGCAGTAACAATGGTGCGCTCACCGGGCAAGCCGTCCTGCTATGTGGCTAAACTCCATCTGTTCACCTTCAGTACAGGGGCTGGGGCGAGTCAATATTCACTTAGTTGCAGCACCTGAAAAAGTTTTATCTTACAAGCCGCATTCAGTCATCGTGTATATAGCTCACACACCATTAATAAGAAGACTCATTTCACCAGTGAAATAATATTATCTGCTAGTCTGAGAGAATGCAGGTCACTCAGATGAACATCTTTAGGTAGTAAAGTATAATCCCAGATGTCTTCTACTTCCTGTTTTTATGGTCTAAAATCCCAACTTCAGTGTATGTCTTTAGCCTGGAGGTGATGAAGCAGAAATAAGAAAATGAAACACATCTGCTCTGACACCCCCTCCATAATTTGTTTATTTTTGCAGTAACTCTAGGGATGCCATTGAAAATGAATTTTTATAATCTTTTTTTTTAAATTGAAGTACAGTTGGTTTGCAATGTTGTGTTAATTTCTGCCGTACAGCAAAGTGATTCAGTTATACATATATATATTCTTTTTCATATTCTTTTCCATTATGGTTGATCACAGGATATTGAATATAGTTCCCTGTGCTATACAGTAGGACCTTTTTGTTTATCCATTCTATATATAATAGTTTGCATCTGCTTATCCCAAACTCCCAATCCATCTCTCCCCCACTCCCTCCTCCTTGGCAACCACAGGTCTGTTCTGTACGTCTGTGAGTCTGTTTCTGTTTTGTAGATAGGTTCATTTGTGTCATATTTGAGATTCCACATATAAGTGGTATCATATGGTATTTGTCTTTCTCTGTCTGATTTACTTCACTTAGTATGATAATCTCTAGGTCCATCCATGTTGCTGCAAATGGCATTATTTCATTCTTTTTTATGACTGAGTAGTATTCCATTGTATATATGTACCACATCTTCTTCATCCATTCATCTGTTGATTGACGTTTAGGTTGCTTCCATGTCTTGGCTATCGTGAGTAGTGCTGGTGTGAACATTGGGGTGCACATATCTTTTCGAATTATGGTTTTCTCTAGATATATGCCCAGGAGTGGGAGTGCTGGATCATATGGTAGCTCTGTTTTTAGTTTTTTGAGGAACCTCCATACTGTTTTCCATAGTGGCTGCACCAACAGTGTAGGAGCGTTCCCTTGAGAAAAAATCCTTTTTGAGATAGGGAATGTGGAAGCTCATATTAAAAGAACTGTATTTTACTTCACCTAAGATGGGGAAGCAGGACACAGTAATTATATACATAGCTTATGCAATACCATATCACTCATAAATGACAGATCCGAATTTCAAACCTAAGATTGTTTTCTTTGTTCACATTCTTTCCGCCACGCTCTGTTTTCTCCCGTGGGGAGAGAAAGAGGTGGCTGCAGTTCTTTACCGTACCTCTGAAAAAAACATGTCCCTATCCCCACTGATAGGGAAAAATCTAGTTCTTCCCTTATAGCCTTTAAAATAGGTAAGAAGTTCTTTACTAGTGGAGGGGAGTTTGTGTCATGCTTATAAGTCAGTCTGTTTCTTCTTCAGAAGCTTTCTCGTGATATTGGAATTATAAGTAATTTGGTTTGTATATATGGGGAAGTGAAACACTTGGGAAAGCCCATACATTGGCCTTAGACATACTCCCATCTTTGGGAAGGTCTCAGTTTGCTAGTATTGCACCTGTTTGTTTGCAGAAGCTCATGCAATTCTGTAGACACAAGTCCTTCTTCCCCATTGTGAGAGCTGGCAGAGCAAAGCTCACAAAGGACTTGTGAAGTTGATGATGTATTTGTGTGAACAACAAGAACTCAGAAAAAAATAATGTTTGGATATTGGAAGTGACACTCTAGTAAACCATGATCATGGTTATGGAACACCAGCTTTAAGGGTGAAAGAAAAGAGTGTATGATGTCATTTCCTATGGCCTACTTATTATACCCATTTCCACCCTCCCCACACAAGTCCCGGATCTAAGAAACAAAGATACCATTCATCAAGGCTGTGTTCTTTCGAATTTGATGCTTATCCAAAATTTCCTTCAGTTTTGCAATTATAGGGCATAATGTGGTTCCCCTAAATTCATATTCTGCCCCCCTCTTTTGGAAAAGCAATACCTCCAAATAAACTTCATAATAAGAGGCTTTTGCATTTTCAAAAACTGAGGGGCAGTGCCAGTGACCAGGAGCAGAGGGTATGGGCAATGAAGGAGAGGTGTGGGACATGCACTTCCAGAGGAGATGGAAAAAGAGCCTCAAGCTGGTGAGGCCAAATTGTACACTGAAGCTGAGACACACGGTCCTAGTTCCAGAGAAGAGTCTTCCTACAGGTTTCTTTACAGAGGCCAACATCTCCGTTTTGATTTCAGGAAATCCCCAAAGAGGAAATGAGATGTTGCAGGCTTTGGGCTTTGGGGACAGACTCACGAGAGAGATACATTTCAACAGCCTAAAAATTGTTCTTCTTGGCTTCTGAGGACATGCAGCCAAGCCAAGGTGAGCCCCCCTTCCTCCTTCTGTCTGCAGCTGGCTCGGGTGCCTGGCGTGTCACCATCCAGCACCCCAGAACCAGTGTTTCCTAAACACAGCCACATTCCTCCCCTCGACACAGGACCTCTCTGCTCATGTTGCACTAGTCTGTAACAAACTAGAGGGTCATTCATGAAGGGCATGGAGAACAAGGAGAAAACAACCCCTAATCTTGTGTGGACTGGGAAGAATCCGTTTTGGCAGGCACCGGACGGGGACTGCTGTAGAACTCGGGGTTGAAACAGTCTGATCTCAGCGCTGGCAGCCTCTGCGATGACCTTGGAAAAGACCTTGTATCAACCTGATCAGAACCTCCAGACAAAACACGTGAGTTCAGCCAAACATTTGAATGTTTCCGACGTTCGCCTGTTCTCCATCACGTAGAGACAGTCTTCATTGCGCTGGACTTCAATTTGACCCTCAAAAAAGCTGTTGAGAAGGGGTCCCTCTCTACTCCCATTCTCTCCTTTTCCAACACCCCCATAAACAAATTATGGGGACATGATTGGGTAATACAGGTGTATCAAGCTCTCGTCCAATCTACATATTACCTGGAATACAGTGGAGGTGGATTTGGGTTAATTTGGAGAGGACTGGAAAGTGACACCAAGACAGGGACCTTGAAGTGTCACCAGGATTTACAGATCTTTCACAATGCTGTTCTTCGCATATGTACTTGCTGCTTCCCAGTGAAACAGAGAACTTGGTCTCGGGCAGTGCCCAGCTTCCCTCACATCTTGTGTTTACATGTGTCACATATTTCTGCGGGGCACTGCCCACTGGGGTAACAGATTAATCTGAGGTAGTCATTAATTGTTTGATGTCTGTTATATGGGAGGATAGGATGGTGCCAGGGTAAATAATTTGAGAATAGCCAGGGGTGAGTGACAGCATTGCTGTTTTCTCATCTCCCATGGACTTCAGACCTTCCAAGTGAGCTTGGCAATTACCTAAAAAGAAAGGAGTGACGTGGTTTTACCCAGTGGGGGCTTTCATTGTCCATTTGGGTCCCTTCGTTTACTGCATCTCAAAGAAACCATGACAACCGTATTTGTCTCCATTTCCTCTCCCCTCGATGCTTCTGGCTCCATCTGTTCAATACTCACCAAGGAAGTCAACATTTGGTCTCTTTTCTTATTATAAACAAAAGTACACTTATGTGAGTTCATTTTTTGAAGAAACATAAAAGAAAATAAAAACGGAAAGGTTGTGTTTGGCTTGATAAATTGTTCAATACCTTCTCTACACCTCCTCCTCTTTCTTAATTTTCACTGGCTCGTGACATGTTCATTTATTTGATTTGTCAGAAAGTGCCTGTGCAATGTGCAGAGATGTGTCATCCCAGGAAAACAAAACCCAAACCCCTGCTTTGTAGGTAGATATCTGTGTGATGAAAAAAATGCCTCCTCTGTTTTCAGTCATGGTGGTGCACGTCTAGATCTAACCGTATTCCTTTCACTTCCAAAACCTCAGATAGTGGAAGGTGGGTTTGTCTTCTGAAGCTTTCTGCAAGCTCTTAGGGTCACATGGCTCTTTGATGAGCCCTGCACAAGAAAGCAGTAACTAAGAGGAGGAAATATATGGCTCAACTCCAGTGGGACACCAGTGGGACCTCTTTTTTGTGGTGTAGGGTGTCCTTTTACATTTGAGTCCCACTGATGAAGTAGTCCAGGACAGAGCCATCCCAGGCTCAGGGGTCCTGGCTTGGAACTAGTGTTGCCTTTGCTATTAACTACCTTTGTGACCTTGAGCAAAGCATTTTACCTCAGTATGAATCCCAGTTCCTTCATATGTAAAATGAAGTAGAACTAGATGACATATAAGCCCCCAAAGAGCTTTTTTATTTTTATTTTTTAAATATTTATTTGGCTGCGCCAGGTCATAGTTGTGGCACGTGGGATCTTCAGTTGCGGCATGCGGGATCTAGTTCCCTGACCAGGGATCGAACTTGGGCTCCCTGCATTGGGAGCGTGGAGTCTTAGCCACCAGGCCACCGGGGAAGTCCCCTGCAAAGAGCTGTAAGATGGTACTATTCTGTTTCATGGCTAAACACTAAACACTAGCTGGTGATTTTGCGAGTTTTCCTCTCCTACCCCTGTGATACAGTTCTTGCCTCCATCCTCTTCTTATCTCCATAACTTTTCTCATCTATCTTGTCCACTTCGCATTTTCAACTATCATTCGTATACTTAAGACAAAACGTCTTAAAAAATGAACTTTTACTGCATTATAATCACATAAACTACAGTGTACCCATCTCAAGTTCAGTAAGTTTTTTTCAAATGTGTACAGCTGTGTATCCTCCACCACAGTCAAGATGTAGAACATGTATATCACCCCAGTAAGACCCCTTGTTCCCCTTTCTAGTCAATACTCCCCCATTCCTGGTCCTAGATAATCAGGGATCTGTCTTCTGACATCAAACATTTTTTTCTCCTCAAAGCCACGCTTCTAATCATGATCAAAGTGTATGTTCAACTACCCACTGGGAAACTTGAGTTAGATTCAACCCAGGCCTCTTGACCTTAACGAGGTGGAAATCGAGATCTTTCTCCATAGATTGGTCTGTCAAATCTCTAAAACTACACATCCGACCATCCTCTCTCTCCATGTTAACCCATCCTATTGAGCAATCTACTCTTTTAATGTATTCACATCAGTTCCTTCCTTCTGCCACTGTTTTGTGTAGGACCTCACCAACCACAGTCTAGTCCCACCAAGTTCAGGAGCTCCGTGGGTCTCTTCCAAGGTAACGCCCCACATCCTTCAACCTTGCAGCTCAAAGACCTTTGCATAGCCTTTCCCCAATTTATTTACATGGTGTCGACTTTGTAGTCTGCTCACTTTGGGACCTTTCTTTCAACAAAAACCTTCCTCTTGTAAATCAGACACTCCCTAGCTTAATATCCTTTAATA